TGGCTGGCGCCTTAGCCGGTTGAGCTATAGGCGCCGAGCCATTAATTTCTATCTGTGATCACAGAAATAATTACAGAAATCTTCAGCGTTAAAATGCTATACCTGGCATAATAAGAAACCTTGGGGGTACATCACGGTGACAGTAGACTGAACACTGCCACAGCTGCTTTATTTAGGTAAACAAGGGCTTGAAGATATTAAATATTTTTGATAAAATTGCCACTGATAGGAAAGTGGCAAAATATAATGGCATAGTAGTAAAAAAACTTTCCTTGGGATATGTTTAAATAATAGCAAGCACATATTAGACATGGTATTCAACTCTTTCACCATTAAGAAATCAGTTCAATCAAGTACAGCAAGCTTTAATGAGAAGGGAAGAATCAGAACATTTATTTTTGAAGCATTTAACCATGCCAGGCCCTTTTAAATACATTTTCTATACATCGTAACAATAAAAATGTAAACAATGCCGAAGATGGTTACCCACTTCCTGTTTTCTGGTCTTTCTAGGATGTTCAGAGTAAGAGGAAAAACTGATGTGATCCCTTGCTCTCTCCAGAAGGTCCTTCTCCTGGATGTTTATGTGGCTGCTGCTTCTCGTCCTTTATTTGGCAGCTTGATGTCACCCTCAGAAGGATCTCCCAGTCCCATACCCAACCTAACTCAAATGTCCTCAATACTCTGTCTTCCTACTGTGCCTTAGACGTGTCCCTTGTTTGCTTTTTCTGTTCCTACTGCTATGGCATAACTCTTCTTTTTTTTTTGTTTGTTTGTTTTTTTGAGACAGAGTCTCACTTTGTCACCCTTATTAGGTGCTATGGCGTCACAGCTCACAGCAACCTCCAGCTCTTGGGCTTAGTTGATTCCCATGCCTCAGCCTCCCGAGTAGCTGAGACTACAGGTGCCCGCCACAATACCCGGCTATTTTTTTGTTGCAGTTTGGCCGGGGCTGGGCTTGAACCTGCCATGCTGGGTATATGGGGCTGGCTCCCTACTCACGGAGCCACAGGCACCACCCCAACTCTTCCTCTTGTATATTCTCTATCACAGTGCTTAGCCCACAGTTAGGACTCGATTATAAGAATTTATTTCAGGTCAAAGCGCCTAGTGAGTGACAGAGCCAGGACACTAACATGTCTTTTGCCTTCACTCACTGCTGGTGCCACTATACCACAGGAGCTGCTAAGTGGTCAGGCACTTGGCGCGTCTTTCCACAGTTTTAAGTGCAGCTACGACATCGTCCTTTCCTACTGTGTTACCGCGAGCGTGGCTGCCACCGAGGCACTGGATGATTTCTGACGATGATTGCTGCGGACTGAAACACCACTGCACCAAACGGTTGCTGTTACAGTCCCAGAGTCACTATTCCCCATGATTTCTCGTCCTAAAACGTTCCTTGCAGGTCTATACTGACAGTTCATCTATAGTAATATTTTCCAGACTCGGGCATTATCCTTTCAAATTCCAAGGTATAAAAATACAGTCCAAAATGCTTCTCTCCAAATCTCATTAGGACTTTTACACATGCATTCCAAATATATTTATACTATAGAATCATACATTTGGATCAAGGTTCACCTAAAATAATTCTTTACTTTTTAGATAAACTTAACTTCAGAACCCAAACTGATTCCTTACGAGTTAAAGGAAGTTATGAAGCCGTATTATTTTGTACTATACTACTGTGGCTTCTTAAATGAAACTTGCAAATTAGCAGAATTGTACTATGCAGCCAGTAACATACTTAGCACATAATTACTTTAAATTCATTATGTTCTGAAGAATGCAAGAAAATAATTCCTTATGGGCATAGTCAAGAGATGATAAAGTCAAAACGGCTACTTTTATGTTTTAACACCCCTTAATGTTTATGTTTTTTTTTT